TTAAAGTTGAGAACGTGGGCAGAGTCTACTAAGTTGTGGGTGCTAGAAACTTCCTGTTGGAAGCTGTCAGGATCAGGGCACTCCTGGAGGTGAAAGTGGCGTGCATGGAGGGGTAGGTGTTTGGTTTAGTGGTTAAGAAGTAGAGGAGGGTGTATGTCGTGTAGCTGAGGACCTGGGTTTGACTCCCGGCGCCAGCTCCTGACTCCAGCTTCCTGCTAAAGCAGACCCTGGAAAGCAGCAGTGACGGCTCAAGCCATCAGCATCCTGCCACCCGTGAGGGAGAGCTGGATTGAAATCCCAGCTCTCCACTTCAGGCCGCCAGTCACGGAAGGTTTTTGGGGAGTGAAACAGCACAAGGAATGCTGTTTCTCAACCTAAAAAACTGTAAATGCCCTGCACGGAGAAGGCACAGGTACATGCTGATTATGCTTTAAATCATGAGCCGCTTGTCTAAGAGTTAAAGAACAAACCAAATCAGGAGATATGACAGAAAAATGACAGACAGCCATTGGAGTTTACATTCTCATTTGTGGTTTCTGCTGTTTTTGTTTTGCTTTTTAATTTTTTTCCTAGAAAAAAAAAAAAAAACACAACCAGGGGAATTTATATGACAAACTATCGGTGTCAGGATGGCTGGGGAAGAGAGAAAGAAAGGCCCGAGGCATGGGAGGCAAATAAAAACCGGGTTCTGAATCACGTGGAACGGTCCACAGGGTCATGTCCAGGTCCTCGTGAGATGACCGGGTCACTTTGGCATGCGTGTTTGGTGCCTGGTCTCCTGGCCTGCCCACTCAGACACCCACAGTCAAAGAGAGCTGGCCACACCTCAGGAATCTGCCAATGACAAACTCAGGGCTTCACAGAAAGTCAGACTTCATTCAGCTCCGTGGCTCTGTGCGCGCCTATCACAGGGCATCGTTCCTTGCCTGACAGAAGAGTCTGGAAGAGCGGAGAGTCACCTTGGGACACACTTTGGCATCACGGCAGTGAACTCCAGGCAGCCTGGTCATCATCACCCACGTGGGCATCTGTCCAGACACCTCCTGTCACGTGGCCAAAGACAGACAGGGGCGGGACAGTCCCTTTCCAGCCACAGCTCAGCAGCAGTGTCCATTCTCCAGTCTTGCTTGAACTGCCTGTTGCCTTAAGGGTTGGAGGAGACCGGAATCTGTCTCCTTTCAGCTCAGCACTGGACGTGGATCCCAAAGCCAGTAACTGAACGAGGACAGCTTGGCCATCTGGATCCATATTGGAGGTCTGTCAAGTTGCTCCCACTGTATGTCCCAATGTCAGGGCAGAGAATTCTGCCAGACTTGGAGCTACAGGGCAGCCAGAGTGATGGCTGGGCAAAACAGATCCAGTTCCACACTGCTAGGCCAGAGTACATTTGAGACAGGGAGAGGGGCATGCAGCAAGCTGTAGCCCCCAGTGACAGTCTAGGGGACATGTGAGACCGAAGGCTACGGCCACGCCTGCTTGTCTGACGGGGTGGTTCTGACACCTCATGTGTGGGGCCCGCTGGTTGTGGTTCCTATGTGGAGAATGGTGGGTTCCTGCCCTGCCATGGCCCCTGTTCCTGAACTGAGGCCAGGTTACATCTCAGTGCCGCAGTTCTGAGGAGCACCACGCTGGCCGGCCAGCCAGGCCACAGTCCTCAGCCCCTCGGGGGCCACGCGGCTCTGGGTTCCACAGGAAGGCCCCAGGGAGCCACAGTTAGTGTGGGGTTGGGGGCAGGGACGAACCAGGGAGGAGGGCACACACTGCTGGGAAAGACTCGGGGAGGAAATACTATGGGCTGGAAAGGCGCCGTGGCCCAAAATACTGCAGAGCCAGAAGGAATGGGACACATTTGTGGAAAACAACAGCCTTGTCCCTATTTTAAAAAGAATATTATTGTCGCTGTTGCTTGGTTTTGTTTCCTTGTAAAACCACTCACATTTTAAAAGGCGAAGGGGCTGGGGAGATCAAGCCCCCTTCGCTCTGGTCACGTGTAGGCACCAGGAGGCCTCGGTCTCCTACCAGGTTCTCCTGCCTGGCTCCAGTCACACAAAGCCAAGGGCAGGGCAGGGCAAAGCAAGCGACTGCCCTGCTTCCCAACGGCAATTCCTTCTCCCCATAGAACCAGAACACTTGTGAGGAGAAGTCCAAAGGCTAAAGTGCAGAGAATTCCAAGGAACGGGTGGCCTGGCACTGGGGCACGCAGAGAGGGAATGGTAGGGGGACTGGAGCAGGGGACAGAGCAGGGTCACCCCAGAGCTGCGGCTGTGGAACAAACACTGGTCCTTGTGAAGGAAGTACCCCTTCCCCTGGGCCCTGGTGACACTTTTCTCTGGGGTGTTACTATCAGCAGCTTCCCAAGGAGGGTCTCGGCCCCCCCGATATGGCCTGCAAGGGGAGGAAACTTGTCGGACTATGCCTGGTTGGTAATGACTAGTGAACATGATGGGAGCAGAGGGTGGTAGGAGGGGAAACAGTGCATTATATAAAATCGATGAATCCCAGGTTTTAAGAGCAGGGACACATAGACAACCCTAAAGGCAAAGTCTCTCCTGGGGAAGGTGTTGTGGTGGACATGGTCAGGATCCTACCCGTGAGGCCTGCTGGGACAGGAGCTCCCCTGGGAATGGGAGGAGCTAGAGTTGGGGGAGGGACTGCCATGGAAGAGAGCTTCTGGTTGGCATTAGGGAGTGTAGGCTGGGGGCGGCTGGAATTGGTTGATGACCTCATACTCCGCCGGGTAGGGCTCATTCTCCTCCATCTCAGAGAGCAGCTCCAGCGCCTGCTCCTCCTCCTCTGTAGGGTAGTGGCGCAGGAGGTTGGCTGCTGTGGCCAGGATTGAGGCTCCACCAGCTCCTGCCACCAGGTAGAAGCTGACAGCAAAGGTGACATAGACCTGGGAGCCGTGGTACTTCTTATGTTGCTGCTGCTGGGCCAGGATGAGTTCGGAAGCCCAGTAAGAAAAGCCGATGACGGTGGCACACTGCAGGACTAGGGGATGGAGCGACAGCACAGAGGGCATTAGCCTTTAGCCGGGATGCTTGCTCTCAGCCTCTCTACCCAAACCCCACTCTCAGAGAACCTGCCTGGCTCTAGATCCTGGAAGGAACCCTTGGGACTCCTGACCTGACTCTGGAGACAGCCGTAGGCCCCTACCAGGCCTGTCCCATCTGCCTTGAGAATTTGCAACTGGGATATGAAGGCTGCCAGGTATGCCTGGGTACTTAAGGGGAACGGACAAGGTCATAGGTGCAGGAGCTGGACTGGGCACCACCCCAAGTCCGATGGACATGCCAGCCCAGTCATGAGAGAGACAGTTGGCTGGTTTCCAGGGAAGCAGCCACCCACCCACGTACTCCAGGGGAGACAGCCTGGCTCCTCCCTCATTCCAGGCCCTGAGCTCGATTAAGCTGCAAACACCATGTTTGGAGTGCTGTGAGATTCCCTGTGGGATTCTAACACCACCCCCCTTCTCCACAGCTGAACTGAATACGTTTGTGATCCTGGCAAGTGTGCAAGCAAATGACTGAAGCAGGCTGCCAACAGCCCCGGTGCTCCGTGAAAAGCTACCGCCTGCTCCTACAAACCAGAGTCCCGCCTGCTGCTCCCAACAGTGTGCACCTCCCAGGCAGTTCCTCCCCACTACAGGCAGGCCCCAGGCTTACCGGTGAGGATATGGGCGAAGGCATAGCGACGGGTGATCTTCAAGGCTGGATGCTTGGGCCCAAAGACATCCAGAAGGAAGGCAGAGAGACTACACAGGATGCCCAGGAAGCAGAAGGCGGCAATGACCCGCAGGAGTAGTACTGTCTGAGGATTCATGCAGAAATCTGGGGGGGGAGAAGCAAATCTTCAGGGCCTCAGGTAACACCCTGATGTAGGCAGTCCCACCTGGGCAGGGGTTGGGGGCCCCCAGCACAGTCCTGGGGGGCTGGGGAGTCCTGGACTGCACTCTCCTAGCACCTGCTCCCAGCTGCTCTGCAGGGGAGCTGGGACAACTTCCACGGGGGCCTTGGTGCAGCCCCACCCACCTCAAGGCTTTCTCGGGCGACAAGACCAGTCTGAAGCAGGACTCCTGCCTGTGCCTACTGTGCTCTTTCAAGCACTTTTAAAGATCCTGAGGATTAACCAGGCAGGTTAACCCACTCTGCCCCAGGATGCTGGGCTGGCCCAAAAGGCTCGCTGACTTCTAAGCCATGACAGAGGTGGCTATAGCCAGAAATCAAATAGTGCTGATTCTCCATTCACTCATTCACTCCCTTTTTGCTCCGAAATGAAAGCTGAACTTGACACTACGTTAAGCGAAATAAACCAAATTCAGAAGGGACCACTCGTGAGCCAGCCAGAACAAATTCATACAGACAGAAAGTAGAATGCTGGTTGGCAGGGCCTGGGGAGGTATCATTGAAGGGATACAGTTTCAGTTTGGGATGATAAAAAATTGTGAAAATGGATGGTGGCCATGGTTGTACAACAACGTGAACACACTTAGTCACTGAACTGGGCACTTGCAATGGCTAAAATGGTAAATGTTATGTATATTTTACCATGGTAAAAAAGAAAAAAAAAGTTGAAGCAGTTTAGAGAAATGTATACCTACAGGAACGCATTAAATATATTAGGAAAGATGGTAGATTGGACCATCTCATTTCTTTTTACTTCCTCCCTGAGCCCTATTAGAACAAAATAATTTCTTAAAGAATTATTTTATGGGGCTGGCACTGTGGCGTCGCAGCTAAAGCTGCTTCCTGCAGTGCTGGCATCCCATATGGGTGCTGGTTCGAGTTCCAGCTGCTCCACTTCCCATTCAATACTCTGCTGTGGCCTGGGAAAGCAGTACAAGATGCTCCAAGTCCTTGGGCTCCTGTACCCACATGGGAGACTGGGAAGAAGCTGCTGACTTCAGACTGGCACAGCTCCGGCCATTGCGGCCATCTGGGGAGTGAACCAGCAGATGGAAGACCTCTCTCTCTCTCTCTCTCTCTACCTCCACCTCTCTGTAACTCCGCCTTTTTTTTTTTTTTTTTTTTTTTTTTTTTTTTTTGACAGGCAGAGTGGATAGTGAGAGAGAGAGACAGAGAGAAAGGTCTTCCTTTTGCCGTTGGTTCACCCTCCAATGGCCGCCACGGCTGGCACACTATGGCTGGCGTACCACGCTGATCCGAAGGCAGGAGCCAGGTGCTTCTCCTGGTCTCCCATGGGGTGCAGGGCCCAAGCACCTGGGCCATCCTTCACTGCCTTCCCGGGCCACAGCAGAGAGCTGGCCTGGAAGAGGGGCAACCGGGAAAGAATCTGGCGCCCCGACCGGGACTAGAACGCCGCTAGGTGGAGGATTAGCCTATTGAGCCGCGGTGCTGGCTAACTCTGCCTTTCAAGTAAATAAATAAATTTTTTTTTAAAAGGATTATTTTATTTATTTGAAAGGCAGACTGACAGGGTGGGGGTAGAGAACCACTGTGCCACAACACTGACCCCAAGAAAACATTACAAAAAGGCATAAAACCATATGAAAGGAAAAAGAGGTACAAAACAAAATTCTGAAAACTGGAAAGAACAGACCTAGACTTGATAGAGGTGAGGAAAAAAGCCAGCAGGGGAAAAGCAAAGCATCAGCTACGCTTGTACCATAAAGCTCCAGAAGGCTCAGGAACTGACAGCACCGGGGGTGCTCACTCCACCAAAACCAGGAAGGAAACCCAGAAGCAGAAGACACGCCATTCAAGGCACCCCAAGGCTGAGGTGAAGGGAGAGCCCCAGGATGGCACACACACACCGTTCACACGGGGCAACCTCCGTGCCTTTCCAGGACTTCAACAGCATCTTTTAAAATTTTTTTTTCCGAAAGGTACAGTTACAGAGAGAAAAGGAGAGAGAGAGGCTGAGAGATCCTCTATCTGCTGGTTCACTCCCCAGATGGCTGCAATGGCTGGAGCCAGGCCAATCTAAAGCCAGCAGCCAGGAGCTTCTTTCGGCTCTCCCATGTGGGTATAGGAGCCCAAGGACTTGGGCCTCCTCTACTGCCTTCCCAGGCCACAGCAGAGAGCTGGATCAGAAGTGAAGCAGCTGAGATTGAACATGGCACCCACATGGGATGCTGGCACAGCAGGCAGAGACTTAACCTACTATGCCACAGCACCAGCCCTGATTTTTTTTTAAAGATTTTATTTATTTATTTGAGAGATAGAGTTATAGACAGTAAGAGGGAGAGACAGAGAAAAAGGTCTTCTGTCTGTTGGTTCACTCCCCAAATGGCCGCAACAGCCAAAGCTGAGCTGATCCGAAAAGCTAGGAGCCAGGAACTTCTTCCAGTCTCCCATGTGGGTGCAGGGGCCCAAGGACTTCGGCCATCTTCCACTGCCTTCCCGGGCCACAGAAGAGAGCTGGATTGGAAGAGGAGCAACCAACCAGGACTAGAACCGGCGCCATATGGGATGCCGGTGCCACAGACGGAGGAGTAACTACTGTACCACCACACCAGCCCCAATTTTTTAAAAAAATTTTTTAAAGATTTATTTGAAAGGCAAAGTTACAGAGAGAGGTAGAGACAGAGAGACAGAGAGACAGAGAGAGAGAGAGAGAGAGAGAGAGAGAGAGAGAGAGAGAGAGGTCTTCCATCCGATGGTTCACTCCCCAGATGGCCGCAACGGCCGGAGCTGCGCTGATCCGAAGCCAGGAGCCAGGAGCTTTTTCCGGGTCTCCCATATGGGTGCGGGGCCCAAGGACTTGGGCCATCTTCCACTGATTTCTCAGGCCATAGCAGAGAGCTGGATCGGAAGAGGAGCAGCCAGGAATCGAACCAGCGCCAATATGGGATGCTGGCACTTCAGGCCAGGGTGTTAAGCTGGTGTGCCACAGCGCCGGCCCCCCGTTTTTTTTTAATTTCAACAAAACACACTGTTGGTCTCCTTTGATGCTTATGCAAACTGCTACAGCTCCCGGAAGTCTACAATAAAGGGTGATCCAGGAAGAAAGCGGGCCAGGATTAAGTATTTCAAGCCTTAATGAAAGTAGGAAATGGGCCTTCATTTTGTTCCCTCCTGTCTTCCAACCTGTGACAAGCTCTCCTCTCCTCAGGCCCGTGGGTCATCAAGTGATTTAGGAAACTCGGGAAAGGGCTGGCAAGATTCGGACTACAGGTTTCTTTCCCAAATCCTGACCTTGGGCTAAGAGTTGGAGCAGTGATGAGGAGTTTAGTGCACATCTGAATTATGGGGGTGACAGCTGAAAACATGTTCCCTGATCCCCAGACAGTCCGACTGTAGGTCTGGAGCAGGGCCTTGGAATCTAGAGTTCAAAATGCAGTCCAGGTAATCCCCTGCAGGTGGTCCCAGCCTTATACAGCAAACAAAACAAAACAAAAAACCCCACTGATCCCAGACTCCAAAGATGAACTGATGTAAAGTTCAAGAACCTGGGCAGAGGACCTAAACCTAAGCAAGCAAACTCAACACCAGGGTGTCCTGCGTAGGAGGAGCCCCTGGACCTGTGTGACCATGCATGTGGAGCCTGCCTCAGGGTTAAATCCATCAGCAGATGCTGCCTGGGCTCAAACAAGGTCCTCATGCTTGTGTCTGGCACCAGGTCCCCCATTCTTGTCTACGGACCATCTGTTTTGGGACCAGGCATCCAGGCTGAGCAACTGCCTACTGTCAGGAAGCTTGCCTGTGCGGGAGCCCCGCCAGCGCCAGCGCCAGCGCCAGCACCAGCCTTTGTTTAATCTAACCCCACACAGCCTCAGTGCTATGGGCCTGCACAGTCCAGACACCCACAGGTCCTCACTGGAAGAAAAGCTCTAGGAGACAGGACTAACCCCTGCCTTTACTTGGAACATTGTTAAAAACTCCCTGCGATAGTTCTTCCTGGGGCCCAAGTGGCACGTGGCAGGTACCAACAGAACCAAAGTGCCCACTCAGTGCCTCTGAGCATGACCGGCCAGAGGCAGGCTGCACGGGCTCGCGTCACCCGCTGCTCTGCGGCTGGCTGGGATGGCATTTGCCTTACTTAATGCCCCCTGGCACTCTGAGGATGGGGACATGTGGGACTTCAGAAGGCCTGTACTTGGATTCTTCTGCTAGGTGGTGAGCACAGGAAGTCTTTGTTGTCCTTAAAAATGTACACTTACGATATACACTGTGCCACTTATTTTATTTTTATTAAAGATTTATTTATTAATTTATTATTTCCCACCCTCAGAGTGACAGAGAGAGTGGGAAAGACTGAGAGAGAGAGAAGGAGAGCAGGAGGGAGGGAGGGCGAGAAACTTCCATCCACTGCTTCAAACCCCAAAAAGGCCACAACAGCCAGCTCTGGGCCTGGTAGAAGTCAGGAGCCAGGAGCATCCTGGACTCGCATCTGGGTGGCAGGGGCCCAAGCACTTGGGCCATCGTCTGCTGTCTTCCCAGGCGCGTCAGCAGGAAGCTGGATCTGAAGCAAAGCAGCCAGGACTGAAACTGGCGCTCCAATATGGGAGGCCAGCACTGCAAGCAGCAGCTTAGCCCGTCTCTCCACAATGCTGGCCAGTAACACACTTATTCCAGTGGAGGACAGATACACGGTACAAAGCTTCACAGGTGACGTCCCTCTCCTTCCAGGTGTCCTCTGACCGACCCCAGAACAAACACTGCTGGAGCTACTTTGCACACACAGATCAATCAAAAGTTTGGGGTGGCCGGCGCCGCGACTCCCTAGGCTAATCCTCTGCCTAGCGGTGCCAGCACACCGGGTTCTAGTCCCGGTCGGGGCTCCGGATTCTGTCCCGGTTGCCCCTCTTCCAGGCCAGCTCTCTGCTGTGGCCAGGGAGTGCAGTGGAGGATGGCCCAGGTGCTTGGGCCCTGCACCCCATGGGAGACCAGGAAAAGCACCTGGCTCCTGGCTCCTGCCATCGGATCAGCGCGGTGCGCCGGCCGCAGCGCGCCGGCCGTGGCGGCCATTGGAGGGTGAACCAACGGCAAAGGAAGACCTTTCTCTCTGTCTCTCTCTCTCACTGTCCACTCTGCCTGTCAAAAAAAAAAAAAAAAAAAAAAAAAGTTTGGGGTGGATGTTGTGATGCAGTGGTTATGCTTAGGACGACCACATCCCAAGGAAGAATGCCTGGTTCAAGTCCTGCTACTCCACATCTGCAATGCACCTTCCCACTAAGGTGCCTGGGAGGCAGCAGATGATGCCCAAACACTCGGGTTCCTGCCACCCACGTAGGAGACCTGGATAGAGTTCCTGGCTCCTGACTTCAGCCTGTCCTATCCCTGGCTGTTGTGGGCATCTGTGCAGTGAACCAGCGGATGGAAAATCTGTTCTCCCTCTCTCTGCGTCATTTTGCCCTTCAAATAAATAGATAAATCTTTTAACAAATGCTATTTTTAAAAAATGTTCCTGGAGCCTGCATTGTGGCATAGTGGGTTAAGCTGCTGCCTGCAACACTGACATCCCATATAGGCACTGGTTCAAGTCCTGGCTGCTCCGATTACAATCCAGCTCCCTGTTAATGGCCTGGAAAAGCAGTGGATCATGGCCCAAGTGCTTGGGCCTTTGCACCCTTGTGGGAGACACAAATGGAATTCTAGGCTCCTGACTGTTGTGGCCATTTGGGGAGTGAACCAGCAGATGGAAGATAGATCTCTCTTTCTGTAAGTCTTTCAAATAAACAAATAAATCTTAAAAAAAAAAAAAAAAAAGTTCTCTCTGTGAATCCTTGTTGTCCACTCTGGCCGGGGCGGGGTGTGGGGTGTGGTTTATCACACAGCTCAGATGAAAGCCAACTCTAGGAGATTAGCTTGACTTTGTCAAGGTCACACAGAGTTAGACTCCAAATGTCAGTGAGGGCTCCCCTGTACTGAGCAGCTCCGAATCACCCAGCCCCTGAGCCAGCCACTTTATTTTTCCCTGATGGAGAGAACCAATCAAGTCCTCAAGAGCTGTGTTTGAACAGCCAGAAGCTGATACCGTCAGAGGCAGCCGCAACCCGCAAGGCCAGCAGCTGCTGAGCTTACAAAAGGAACCGTGTGGGCTATGAAATCTCACACACACACACACACACACACACACAAAAGGCAAGAAAGGTCTGGGCCACTGTGCAACAAAGAATGTCCACATGGGCAATTACTGGACGAAACCTATTGGGGTGGTGTTGAAGCCTGGGCAGCACTCAGGCCCTCCAGTCCAGCTCCGGAACATGCTCAGGACACCAGCAGAGCTCTGGACCTGGAGCCAAGTCCTCGGCTGGCCACAGGCTATGTGTTACCTTGAGCAGGTCACTTTCTGGGAGGGTCAGCTGACGCGATGCTGTGACACAGCAGCCCCCTGTACTGGGACTGCCCCGGCCACTGGTGTGCCTCTACTTGCTGCCCCAAAACTTCAACGACACACATCAATCAGTGTGGGCCAGACAAGGGGCCCACAAAGCCAGACTCAGGGGCTGCCCACCAGACTGAAAATGGGGTACCGAAAAGCGACTTTTGACCCAAAACTCCAACACATTTTGTTTCAACGTTAAACTGCTTTCCTCTGTTCCAAAGCTGTGACTTAAACAAACCCTCCGGTTCAGTAGGGAAAGCAAACAGGAAATTCCCTCTGGGGGTGCTCATGGATGCCCCAGAGCCTGCCCGCTAACAGGCGGGCTTTCCTCAAAGGATTTCTGTGCACCCAAGAAGGCCAGGCAGTTCCCGGGGCGTACAGGACGCAGCTCAGAGCCTCCCCTGGGCTCAGCAGCTCGGCATCTTTCTCCCCTCCCTTCCCGGACAGCAGTACAGCAGGGCAGGCCACAAACACCAGCTCCCTTGAGAGCATGGCTAGACAAACAAAGCCCCAGAGGTGCTGCACGGGTGACTTTACTTGTGGGACAGAAATGGTACACAGGGCTGGGTCTGTAAATTTGACCTGGTGGTTCAGGGGACAACACTTGGGCAAGACGCACGGCACACCCTCTCCTCCAGTTGTGCTCCGGCCTGTTTATTTTGGTGCACATGGCTTGCCGGTCCCCTCCAGTCATCAGGGAAGAAGGCAGCTACTGTGTAATAGGATCCCATGGAACTGACTTTGCCCAAGGTCACTGGTGAGTCACCGGCTGGGTTTGTTTTGAAGGCCCTGGCTCTTCCTGTCTACCTGTCCCTTGCTCTAACTCATGCCTGACCCACATAGGCTGCGGCAGGAAGGCAGATGTGGCTCCTGACCAGCTTCCTGCTTCTGTCCCATCTCCTTGCCTCCTTGCTGGGATCCCTGTTAGAGGAGCTCCCCCACTGCCCCAGGCCTTCTCTGTGTATCCATCCCACCTGCACGGCCCTCCCACTGTGACTCCAGCTTTCAGACAGGCCTCCGACACAGGCCACCAACAGGGCCATCTGGTGCCAGCTCCGTAATCCCGCAGATACCAATGGTCTTAATCTGGAGACAGGCCTTGCAGGCCCTGGAAGTGCCAGCTGCACCTGTCACCACCCTGCAGGCACACAGGCCCTCCCTGGAAGGCCCTTGATCTTCCAGAGGCTACTGACAAGCATGAGTCACCTGACTTCAAATCCAGCACTTCCTCATTCTCCAAATATGCTTCCTGAGGCTGTTGGTGGCACTGTCATTCGCTGGTGGCACTGTCATTCGCCGGTGGCACTGTCATTCACCGGCCACACTGGAGCAGCAGGTAGGGTGTGGCGCTCCCCCTCCCCAGGACCACTGGAGACCCCAACAAGTCTCTGGACCTGGGCTGGGGTGAAAGATCTCTGAGAGACACAAGCACGCCTTTAGGGGAGAGGGAGAATTCAGAACGGAGTCTTTTAAGCCAGCCTGCGTCTGCTACAGCCTTGGAGGCCTGGGAATGACAGTGGGAGGGTGAATGGCTCTGCCTCCAGATTACCAATCCAAGCCCAAACATGGAGGCCACGTGCAATAAAACAGAGTTCGGCTTCTGCTGGGCTTGTGATAAAAGCTCAATGAGAACAGAGAAATGAAGAGCCTTGGGCAGCTCTAAAGGAAGGGCAAAGCAAGCTGGAGCATGCTTGGCAGGGTGGTCAGGGGATGGACTTCAGAGCAGTTGTGTGCTACGGAGCTCCCTGAGCCGAGACCTTCACAAAGCACAGCTGAAGGCAGTAGCTACCAAGTCAGGACGTTCTGTAGGAGCGACAGAAAGCAGGCAGGAACGTGCTCAGCACCATGTCAACATGGGCGTTCAGGCAGGGGCTGAGCGGTGACCGGCTAGCCTGCCCTCCCTCTGGAGCGTCTGTAGGAGCCGTGTGCCCCCAGCTCTGCTCCCTCAGGCTTCCAGGTCAGGACATCTCTCTGCCCTGCAGATTAGCACAGCACACAGGACACCCGTGTCTGAAGACCGTATGCCTGGGCACTCAAAACCCAACAAGTACAGAGACAAGGGGGAGGAGAAGCAGTTAGGGACCTCCTGGGTCCCCAGCTTCTCCTGTGATAGCTTGGGGGGCACCAGGGTCAACTTTCTAATCAATGGGCACCAAATGTTCCTAGTGTGCAACCGCCAAGGAGAGGGCCACAGCTGCCCAGGCAGAAACTACACAAGGGCTAATGTGAACAAATGTACTGTCAAGGTTAAGGCCACGTGCTTTATGAAAGACAGAGTCCGACCTGAGTAATTTCTTAGAAAGGGTACATAGATATGTGAACAAATGAGAGGCTGCAGCGAGAGTTCACTTCTATTTTTAATATGGCTTTGACAAGGATGCCCTTGCACACCTAGGTGGGATGCCCACGAGCTCACTCTTCTACAGCTGAGGTGAATCAAAGGGTAGGGACCGTGAGTGAGACGGCATCACTTCATGCTGGCATGAGAGATGCGAGGGAGCCCCAGCTACGCCAACCCCAGCTGGGTGGCCGGGGCATCACTTTGTTTTTCTGAGCCCCAGCTCCCCAGATCTCAGAAATAACGATGAGACCTGATCGCCTCTTGCTCCATCACAAGAAACTTCCAGGGACGATCTGCCAAGGAGGGGCGTGGTGAACGGTCTCCCAGCTCCTGGGTGACACTGAACTCTCAAGCACTGAACCACCAGAGACCGATGCCGAATTAACAGACGGTGGCAGCTGTGTTTCAGGGAAAGCCAAGTGCAGGGAACTGTGCTGAGGGAAAGCCGACCAGACGCACTCCAACTCCACGGCCTTTAAGCTGTCAGCTACATGGCAGAGAAAAAGCTGCCAGCACCAAGCCTCCTTCACGGGCCTGATTTCGGCTTTCATGAGCCAATCCAGCCAATGGTATCATCCAGGTGAGATCTGGGAACAAACCAGAAAAGCTCCCAACCTGTGCTCCGTAAGATCACCCTAAAGCTTCTAGAACTCTAGAGAGAAGCAAAATGTTGAAAGAAGGCTCAGAGACAGACAACATGGGGAAGGAGATGAGGCTTTTCCGCCTTCTTCACCTTGAAGAGGTGGGATATAGCCCAGGGCACAGAGAGGCACAGGGGCCGTTTTGCCAATTCTAGTGCCTGAATCTGTCAAAAGGCAACATGTAGATATTTCACAGGAAGGGCTTCCAACATGCAGGGCAGCGACATCTGGAATGCCTCCTCGCCAGTGACAGCACAGGTGGAAAGCAAGAAGGCCTTCAAGAAAGGCTCAAAAAGACTTCGGGGTGATGAACTGCGCTGTGACTAGGGGCTGTGTGGGCAGCACGCACCATTTTCACATAAAAACCAGGTGCTGCCACCCTGCCCTCACCCGGCCTTCACCCTCACCGAGGGACGCGGGACTGGGCAGGATGGGCGCGGGGGCTCCCAAGGATCCACCTTCCCGAAGGCACTGGCCTCCCCTTCAGTAAACTGAACACTTTCCTCTGCCTACCTGGTGCAGAAGCAGGAGGACCACAGTCAGGCACACCTGTAATGGTTGCAAAGACTCACGTCCAACTCTTACTGATGCGGGCAACGGAACTGAGTTCTGATGACCTAAAACGCCACGAGCTCTCTCGTTCCTCTAGTAAAAATCCAATCACCATACAACTCTAAAGTATCTTTTTAAACCTGTTCATACTGGAAGCTCCCTTGTCTCCACCCATCAGTCCAGAGCGGCTTTCCTGCATCCCACAGGTTCCTTAGAAGGGAGCAGCTGGTTGTGATACCCAGCGCCCTTCCTCCCGCAGAAGCCTAAAATAGCAGCAGTCCGGATTAGCATGGCTGTGAGAAGGTGCATTGCTGAATAACATCAGATTTAATGAGGTGCCCGGACCCCAAACAGAGCCACCTGGTGGGCAGGAACACAAGGCAGGAATGGGGCCGTTTCCTTCCACCAAGTGCCTGGCCCTGGTCAGCTCCGCTCCCCACCCAGGCCCGGAGCGCCCTCACCTTTCAGCAGGTCCGGGTGCACGTAGCCCAGAACATCCGAGACCCCCAGCTCTTGGCGGGAACAGGTGCCTCCGTGGATGTGCAACCAGGCGGGCTCGGCGAGAGCAGTGCACAGCGCGGTGATGGACAGGGCGCCAGGCAGGGCCGAGGCCAGGCTACGCTCCGGCTGCTTGGGCACAGAGCTGCCTCCCGGGCTCCTCCGCCGGCGCCCGCCGGGCAGCCCTGCGCCTCCGGGGGCGTACATGCCCGGGGCCGCCCGCCGTCGCTCTGCGGTCGCTGCTGGTAGCCGCCGACCTCCGCGGGGCGCGCAGAGCCTGCCTGTCCCGGGAAGAGCAATGCGCTAGGTTCGCAGCCGGTGAGGCCGGCGGAGGGCTGTCAGGGCCGACCCGGGAGGATGGGGGTTGGAACCAGGGATGAGAGGAGAGGGGAGGGCTGCGGCGATTTGGGGGGCGGGGACAGAGGACTTTGGAACAGGGGTGTGGGAGGAGGACCTGCAGAGGGCCAGCGACCAGGTTGGGTCTTGGCAAACTACGGTGACGGGGAGGAGGTACCGGGGCTCGGCTACGAGGAGGCAGAAGACCCGGACGCGGGGTCTCGGCCAGAGGGTGCTGGGAGGGGGCGGAGGACCAGGCTGGGCCGCAGGGACTGGGGATCTGGGACCGGCACTTTGGGGTGCCACCTGAGCAGAGGAAGGACCCTCCCCAGGCGACTCCCTGTTCCTCACCGGTCAGCAGGCCTCAAGGCTGGGATGGCGCCGCTCCGCCCCGTCACGGGCTCCTCTGCTGCCCGGGGCCGAGCGATCCCAGGCCCCAATCCCGCAACGCCCGGACCGACCCAGCCGATCCACTTCCGGCTTCCTCCTCCTCTGCCTCCGCCTCCTCGGGCTCCCCGCCCCGGCCCTCGCGCGCGTCACGGCCCGGGCGCGCCGCCGGCTCTGTGCGCAGGGCCTCATGGGACTGGTAGTTCGGGGCGGTCCCCCGATGGTTTCCGGGGGTAGGGGTGAGGAGAGCGACTACAACTCCCAGAGGGCCATGCAGCCGCGCAGCGGGCGCTGTAGTTCCTGGTACGGCCCCGGCCCCCGGCCGGAAGCGGGACCTGTGGGTGACTGCGGGCGCTGGAGTGGGCGTCGCGGAGGCTCGCGCGCCTGTAGCAGCGGTCAGCGCGGCTGACTGCCCACCTCTTCCTAACCCTGCGCCCTGTCGCCATGAAGGATTCTCTGGTGCTGCTGAGCCGTGTCTCGGCGCACCCGGACTCCCGCTGCTGGTTCCTGGCCTGGAACCCTGCAGGGACTCTGCTGGCCTCGTGCGGTGGCGACCGTAGAATCCGCATCTGGGCCACCGAAGGTAAGGCTGGCCTGCCTGTGCGACCTGCGCCGAGAGCGCACCGACGAGGCCGACCCCGAACGAATTACAGACCGCGGGATGGGCGACCTCCGAGTCAGGCGTTAGGCACCCTTAGAAGGGTTTTTCGTGCAAAGGAGGCAGCAAGTGCTGGACGCGAAATGCCGACAGACAGGCTGGAACTCTTGCGGAATGGTAACAGTTGCGGAGGCAGCAAGATGTGGAGACGCGGTGGCGGGAAAGTAGCTCGCGGGAACCCTGGCACCCGCTAGGTGAACTTTGCCTTTTATCCCGAGGGCATTTGGGAGCCATTGTCAGTTGTCAATCAGGGTGGTGACTCCGTGGGAAGCAGATTCAGTTACTCTTTGAAGAAGCTTGTTTAGGGTGGGCGTTGTGGTGCAGCAGGTTAAGCCGCAGCTAACACCGGCCTCCCTTATGAGCCCCGGCTGCAGTCCCAGCTGCTCCTGCTAGTCCAGCTCCCTGCTGATGTTCCTGGGAAGGCAGCGGATGATGGCCCAAGTGCTTGGAGACCAGGATGGAGTGCCGGACCTAGCCCTGGCTGTTGTGGACATTTGAAGAGTTGCTTTGGTTTTCTTTTTTTAAGATTTATTTATTTACTTGAAAGGCAGAGTTATAGAGAAGCAGAGGCAGAGAGAGAGAGAGAGGTCTTCCTTCTGCTGGTTCACTCCCAATTGGCCGCAACAGCCAGAGCTGGACCAATCCGGAGCCAGCAGCTCCTTCCAGGTCCCCATGCAGGTGCAGGGGCCCAAGCACTTGGGCCATCTTCTGCTGCTTTCCCAGGCCACAGCAGAGAGCTGGATCGGAAGAGGAGCAGCCAGGACTCGAACCAGTGCTCATAGGGGATGCTGGCACTGCAGGCCATGGCTTTACCTGCTACTCTACAGCGCTGGCCCCTGCTCTGATTTTCAAATAAGTACATAAGCCTCTTTAACAAGAAGAAAGAAAAAGAGCATGTTGTTAAGTAGACTGATGGAGCCTTATCCCTACAACTTGGCCCCGCTCCTAGCCCCATTGTCAGGCATTGGTGATGCCTCCGCGCCTCCTGATGACCCCAGCTCCAGAGCCTATCCTGTCCTCTGCTCTTAGGTGACAGCTGGGTCTGCAAGTCTGTCCTTTCTGAAGGCCACCAGCGCACCGTGCGGAAGGTGGCCTGGTCTCCCTGTGGGAACTACCTGGCCTCTGCCAGCTTTGATGCTACCACCTGCATTTGGAAGAAGAACCAGGATGACTTTGAGGTAAGCATGCTGGAGGGGACCTTGCTCCTTAGGGCGAGTTTAGGAACCTCAGCCAACCCTTCTCAACCCTCCTCCCTTTGCAGTGTGTAACCACTCTTGAGGGCCATGAAAACGAGGTCAAGTCAGTGGCTTGGGCCCCATCTGGCAACCTCCTGGCCACCTGCAGCCGAGACAAGAGTGTGTGGGTCTGGGAAGGTGAGTCCCGGGTCCCTGCAGGAGTCAGGACCCAGCTGACAGCCGTTCCACGGTGGGCTTCCGGCTTCCCTTCCTTTTGTCTCCCACAGTGGACGAAGAGGATGAGTATGAATGTGTCAGTGTCCTCAACTCCCATACACAGGATGTCAAGCACGTGGTTTGGCACCCAAGTCAGGAGGTAACCGTTGGCCAGCATGGGCTCCTGGTGGGCGGGGACCCTGGGGAGAAGGTGGGCGCCCAGCCTTTTTCTGCTCCTCAGCCTCAGCCTGCCAGTACGGGGTCTCTGACCAGAAGACCCTGGTCTGAGCCCTGGGACTGTGCTACTCGGCACACAGGCACTTCCTGGGCCACACAGGCGAGTGCTGGGTCTCTCCCCTCCCTCCCCCCAGCTGTTAGCCTCTGCCAGCTACGACGACACAGTGAAGCTCTACCGGGAGGAAGAGGATGACTGGGTGTGCTGCGCCACCCTGGAGGGCCATGAGTCTACTGTGTGGAGCTTGGCCTTTGACCCCAGCGGCCAGCGCCTGGCATCCTGCAGTGATGACCGAACCGTGCGCATCTGGCGCCAGTATCTACCAGGCAACGAACAAGGTGCGGGTCCAGTAGTGGAGCTACAGGAGACACGAGAGGCGTGCGGTCTGCTGGGACACATGCCTGATGGTGGCGCGTTGGAGTAAAAGGAGCGTGTGCCAGGAGAGGGCTCCAGATAGAACACTCAGAGGAGCTGGGGAAAGCTGCGTGAACAAGGGGTCATAGGATGGGAAGGATTTGAGGAGGAGTCGGGTGGGTTGGCTCAGCTGGTTGCGTGGCCTTCGAAGGCAAGCTGCTAGGTGGGTACGCGATAGTCTGCGGCAGGACAGGAGTATTTCCTTCTTGGAGTTCTGCTCCAGGAGGACCCGTGTGGCCACAGTGTGTGCTGCGGGTCGGTGAGGATGGCGGCACAGGGATGGCCTGAAGTCTGCGGTGCGCAGCTCCTCCGCCGAGGCCTCGGGCTCAGAACCGGTCTGTCTTGCAGGGCTGGTGTGCAGCGGCTCTGCCCCCAGCTGGAAGTGTGTCTGCACTTTGTCTGGCTTCCACTCCAGGGCCATTTACGACATTGCCTGGTAAGACCTCCATCCCCACCCCACTCCTGGTAAAGCAGGGATTTGAGAGACATCGTGACCCTCTGTCCTGCTACCAGCGGGGCACAAGAGAAGAGCCGCCCTGTTTCTGTAGATGAGGCCCCCTGTCCACCATGCTAGAGCCGGCCGGCCTGCGAGTCCCAGGGGCAGGACTCAGCCTTAGACCCAGGAGCCCTGGTTAGGAGCGCAGGCTCTGAGGGCAGCACCAGCCCCGGGATTCACGCAGTGCCAGTCCGTCCAGAGAGCAGGACTGAATCTGTGGATCGGTGGTTGGGGTTGTTACGGTTTGGAAACACAGAGGGAGAGTTAGGCAGAAGACAGTTCTGGCCCTGAGAGGGAGGCCTAAGAATTAATGCTAAACAAAGGAAAAAGTTCATAGGCGTCCAAGCATAATTAGTATTAGCAAACAGTTTGGAGTAACGCATACGAGTATGTTGCAAAAAAAGTGGACTTAAGCAAATAATGGTAAAACTCAGTAGCCTGTTCTATCAGTTAAAAAAGACTTCAAAGCATGGGAAACCACTTATGCTCAATGAGAAGTGTGCTCTTCAGAGCTGCTTGGGGTTTTTAGGTTAGTTATAACTGGAAGGAGTATGGAGGCATCTGCAGACCGAGGGAGGTGCTGCTCGTGGCTCTGTCTTTGGGACACTCCCCGGTAAGACTGAGCTGAGGCCTGCAGCTGGGAAGAGAACAGGCAGGGACTGTAGAACAGCTCTCTCTCTTGCCCAGTTTGCCAGACTGGGGAGGGAAGAGCAGTCTGCACACCTCCTGATGGCACATTTCTCCCAGGTGTCAGCTGACCGGGGCCCTGGCTACAGCTTGTGGGGACGATGCCATCCGAGTGTTTGAGGAGGATCCCAGCTCGGACCCGCAGCAGCCCACCTTCTCCCTGACGGCCCATTTGCGCCAGGCCCATTCCCAGGATGTCAACTGCGTGGCCTGGAACCCCAAGGAGCGGGGGCTCCTGGCTTCCTGCAGTGATGATGGGGAGGTGGCCTTCTGGAAGTACCAGCAGCCTGAAGGCCTCTGAGCTGCCTTGACTTCGGCATCACAGTTCCTGAGAAAGTGTGCTGAGACTTTG